AGAAATGCTTGAAACTGCAATATTTCGCACCCCGGCTTATCATGTAGCGGTAGCTTTCGGAAAGGTGGAAAACCTATATTTAATACTTGCGCCGGGTATTTAATGTTCGGCTCCGCCCGAACTTAGACTTTCTTACTTGTTATTATTAAATTAATTTATAAGCATTTGAACGCCCACATTGTGTAGGAAGACAAAATGCTGAGAACTGAAATTAACACCAAAATACAAAAGAATAAAAAAGCTAAAGCAGCGCTCCATCATTAACAAGTGATGTAGGTAGTGTGAGGCTAGCACTATTTTTACGATCATCAAAAAAATATTTATGAAAATGAAAAAAAAAAACTGTTGACAGTAAGCTTTGATACAAATGTATTTACATACTAGTATGAATATGTATGCATGTATATGGATTTATGTCATTTATGCGATCACCCTAGTTGAGTTGCTTTGTACGTGGCGTATACACTGTTATACGATGTTTCCACGATCCGGAATTCGCTCTCTAAGTAATTCATGAATTACGCTGTTTCCACGACACACATTCGTGACTCGTTTGGCTGCTCTACTTCTTGTTCTTGTTCTTCGCTATTTACATATTATTATTTTTGTGCTCTGTAAATATCGAAGATGGAGCATAAATTTAAGTTATCATCAAAGTTTTTTTATTTATATAGATAATATTTTATTAATTAATTTTCCAGCAATTAGAAAAAGTGCCAGCAAATGGGATTAGCCATGGTACCTACAAATAAGGTAATTCGCTCTCAAAATTTTGTGTGGCGAATTACGTAATTCGAAGTGTAAGTGGATGGCGAATGACGAATGGGAAAGCGAACTACGAATCGTGGAAATGTCGTATTAGTTTAAAGAACGTGTGTTCGATGCGAACACCGCTGAAAATTGTTTTTATAAGAGCGGTCAACTGTCGGCACTAATATATAAAAATGCTGGGCCTCAAACTGTCATGACCGTTTATGTGGTTTTGCTAGATAATAATATTATTATTACTGTTATGCTTATTTGTTCACTGGCTCTTGCCATAATCGTATAAAAACAACTAACATGAATTGTGATGCTTCAGAGTGCTCCGCTTGAGAAAAAAATACAAAATGTCAACAAAATTTAATTTTAAATTTATCAATGACTCCAAGCAACAGCTGCTGTCTGTCGTCGCATTATGTGTAAATATTTAACGGGTTTGAATTTATTTTATTTTTTTTTTTCTAATCAAGTTTCCTAAATAGCCAATTGAGCTTGCAGATGATTGAGTTGTTTCATGGTCAACAATTGTAGGCGCCAACATATTATGTAAATGTTTCGCTGCAGTGCAAATGTGGCGCTTTTTGACGCCCACCCACAATGCCGATAGACTGCATTCAATTAAATTCTACTAGCGTGACGAGTTAGCTGCGAGGAGGTAGACGTATTAAAATTAATTTAGGATTGAGAGTAGGAAAAAATTCCGAGTGAAAATAAGATCAAATATATATAGGGCATTATATAGATGAATAAAAAATATGTGAGGGCAGTAATAGATAGGGTTGTAGTATGTAGTAGTAACATATAGGAGTAGAAGTAGTAGAAAGCAAACAAATAGGTAGGAACAGGACCAACGAGTGCTGGCTATAGATAGAGGTAAAGGTCAAGATAAAGGTAAAAATAAAAATATATATACAGATTAATATAGATATGGAGAAAAAAATCAAGGTAGAGATCAAGTTAAATATAAACATAAAAATAGATAAGGAATCAGGTCAAAATAAAGGTAAAGATAAAGATAGGCATAACAATAAAAATAAAAACATAGGAAAAGATAGAGAAACAGATAAAGATAAAAAAGCAATAGACAATCACGGATAATAAGAGACAGATATGGAGAAAGGAATCGCATGATATAGATGGAGAAAGAGAAAGGGATAGAGATAGAGATAGGGATAGGGATAGGGATAGGGATAGAGATAGAGATAGAGATAGAGATAGAGATAGAGATAG